GTACGGTTGGTGACTCTCTGAGTTTGAGACCAGCCTGATCTACATATTGAGTTCTGAGGCAGCCAGGGTTACATAGTGAGAGCCTGTCTCAAAAACAAAACAACAAAATCAATAATCCCTTAACTTCAAAACTTCAAGCTAATAAAGGAAAACAATAAAAAAAATAATTATCAAAGTCTGCTACAATATAAATGTCCTCAAATATTAGCCGATTTTCCCTTGAAAAATACTCTAGAAAGGCAAGTCAGACTCTACAGTGGAAGCAGTTAATGAGCATTCAAAAACCAGCCCCATTACTTGTTTAGACTCTGAATCTCTAACACAAGTACTTGGCTGGGACTGGGGATTAAGCAAAATGATGACTGTATAGCACTCAGCATGGAGCTTGAGGAGATGCTCTTTCTCAGCAGGAATGTGGTTTGTGGGCTCCACCTCCACACCATGATACATATTCTGCTCCCCAAACTGCTGTCAAACTCTCAATCCTCTCCCGCTTTCACAGGACTTGGCTGCTCCTCTGTTAATTAACTTAGGGGTACAGAATCCTAGGTCATCTTCAAAGTCTGGGCAGGGTATCTGGCAGTTTTACTCAAACCTGTGTGTATGTGTGTGCTTAGATCTGTGTGTTTGTGTGTGCTTAGATCTGTGTGTATGTGTGTGCTTAGATCTGTGTGTTTGTGTGTGCTTACATCTGTGTGTTTGTGTGTGCTTAGATCTGTGTGTGTGTGCTTAGATCTGTGTATTTGTGTGTGCTTAGATCTGTGTGTGTGTTGTGAAACTAGAAAGAGCATCAGAAGAGGGAGAAAAATCTTAAGCAAGTTGGGAACTAGAGTAATGGGACATGTGTAATAGGAAAGCAGAGGGAGGGACTAACTGGAGGAGGAAAAGGAACCTGTAGCTCAAACGGAAGGGTGTTTGTCTAGCATGCACCCCAGGTGTAATGTCTCTCACCAAATAAACAGGGCGTGGCAGCAATTATGCCTTAATTCCAGCACTCAGGAGGCAGAAGCAGAAAGTTCAGAAGTTTAAGGGCATTCTTGGCCACAAAGTGACTTTAAGGCCAGCCTGGGCTATAGTACTACATCAGGAAAAAGTCACACTTGGGCCTCCCAACAATCTTTGTTCTGTGTTAGGTACAAGTACATGTGCATATAAAATCTGTCAAAGGAAGTAATGGAGGTAGACACTACTGTAGTTACTGTCCACCTCACTGTTCCCTTGTACTTTAAAAAGGGGGTGGGGGTGCACATCCTTGACACAGCACAGAGGTGTTCTGAAGGAAAGTGGTGGTAGATACCGGATACTACCATTTTCTTTGCAGAAAATAACATAACCTCCCTTTCCTACCTGACTGGGATTTAAATGATTGGTTTTAGAACTTGTCTGGAAACAGGTACCTGGCTTAATACCACTCAGGGGCATCTTTAAAATTCTTAAGTTAGAGCTGGGCGGTGGTGGCGCATGCCTTTAATCCCAGTACTCGGGAGGCCGAGCCAGGGATCTCTGTGAGTTTGAGGCCAGCCTGGTCTACAGATCGAGATCCAGGACAGGCCCCAAAACTACACAGAGAGACCCTGTCTCTAAAAACCAAAAAAAAAAAAAAAAAAAAAAAACCTCTTAAGTTAGAAATGAGGAAACCTCAGTCTTTTTCTTTTCTTTTTCCTTTTTGAAACAGAGTCCCATCATATAGCCCAGGCTAGCCTTGGACTTATGGTAACACTGTTGTACCAGCCTCCCAAGTGCTAGCATTACAAACATGTATTTACCATGCCTGGCTGAGTAAGCCCAAGTCTTAACTGGGTTCTGGAGTTTTGAAATACATGTACATGAGCCTGAGAGTCAGAACACACTACGGAAAGAGCAGTAAGTCTATAACAGAGAGTCAAAACATATCCTGGTGAGGTTTACGTCATTTGAAGCCCTAGTACATCCCTGTCTTCCTAGACGTGGGTATGACGCTAATATATTTCCTTTTTGATAAGCCAAGTAACTCAATTGCTTATCTATCAAAGAACCCTAATTCAAGCCTATTCCTAGAAATTCTAAGCTAGTGACTTATCCTGCCAAGACTAACAACCACAGCAAAGCTGAGTTTCATCTTAGTCCTTTTCCAAACCAAAGGTAGACCCTGGAAGAAAGGTGCAAGCCATTTATTAAGATAAACAGTGGTTGACTATTTCTAGGCAACACTGGTTATGCTTCCATTTTGTTTTATTTTTTAGAGACATTGTCTCACCATGTAGCCTTAACTGGCCTGGAATTCACTATGTAGACTAAACTGACCTAGAGCTCATAGAGCTGCACCTGCCTCTGCCTCCTGTGATTAAAGGCATGTCCCACCACACCCAGCCTTGGTTATTGCTTCTAGTGGAATTTAGTGAATAGGCAAAACTACTGTCCAGAGCATGCAAAACAAATGTTGAGTCACCTTTTTGGAGAACTCCTTTTCTTTTTCACTAAGTGCTTGAGTCTTCTCTTGCTCAAGATGGAAATGTGATCTTCTCTGTTCTTCTAGAACGGATTCTGTCTGATGCAGTGAGTCACGCAAAATTTTAATTTCTCCATTCTTAATTAGGACTTCTTCTTCCATTGATTTCAGCTGTAAATTATGCCCAACCAGTTGATATTCAGCATGAACAGTTTCAGAACATACTTGCCCCTAACATACAGATTCTTCAGCTTTGATTTAACACTATGCTCACACACTCCACAGAACTAAAATTCCATGCTATATTCCTGGTTTTCTTAGCGGCCCTACAAATGGCCATATGAAAGATGTCTGATTGCTTACAAAACTAATGAAATAGCAACCACTCTGATGCGGTGTTCCTCATATACAGATACAGGTTATGGGGGCTAGAGGGATGGCTTAGCAGCTAAAAGCACTTGCTGCTCTTGTAGGGGACCCAGGTTCCTTTCCCAGTACCCACATCAGGTGGCTCACAACGAGTTGTAATTCTGGATCCAGAGGAGCACCATCATGGCACCTGCATGCATGTGGTGCACATAAACTCACCCAGGCTTACATACATATACAGAGTAAATAAAATTTCAGGCATTCTTCCCCCAATCTTTCATTTCAGAGGGATGAATCTAGATGCTTGTTTTAAAACTTTTATATATTTTACACAATGCTTTTTTAACACCTAAATGAATGAATTAGCTACAGATAGCACAAGTTAGGGCTGGAAGTATAGCTTAGCAGTAGAATGTCTCTGTTTATAGCATGTGTAAAGGTAAAGTCCTGGGTTCAATTCTCAGCACTAGACCAAATAAGCAAGCAAGGAAAGAAACCTCACAAGCTACATACCTTTTCTTTAAGTTCTTTGTATTGTATCTGAAGTACTTCTAATTCAAAATTATCTTTAACTGGAGCATTTTCTCTGTTTTTCCTCATAGGACTATTCGATAACCCATCTAATTGGTGGACATTATGAGTACCTGTATAAAAAAATAGTTCCCATTAAGTTGAGTATCATGGCACAGAACTGTAATCTCAGCTCTTGGGAGGCTGAGGCAGGGGGATCTCAAGTTCAAGGGTAGCCTAGTTATAGAGTGAGAACCTGGGCTTGGAAGAAAAAAAAAATCTCATATATACTTCAGGACTCAGTATATACCACACCTTTGTCATAAATGCTTGTCTTGAAAGCCAAGTTGAGAAAGACCCAGTAAACAATATCAGCACTTCCCAATCTCAGAACATGATATAAACTCATAAAGTTTATATCTAAATAACATGTCTGAATATTCTCCCTTTACACCCTCCCCCAATATCAAGACTCTCAGCTAATAGCTGAGATTTCACTGGCTATAACTACAACATAGCATTAATATCATTTACTGTAATATGCTAGGCACAGGCTCTGCTGGTCTTTAAAGACACGGTGGTGAACAACATGGATCTATCTATTCCATGGGAGTCGTGGGACTCCAGGGATGGATTAAGGTAAAGTGATGCAGGGCGCCACCAAGTGGAGAGTAGTGCTAACTACTGCCATATAAAACCTCTGGTCATCCCTGAGTGTTTTCTAGTGCCTGGTTTTCCAGGCAATATTGCTGGAAAGATGGAGGTCCACGTTTCCAGGAATAATCCTATTTTTTCAGATGCTTTAAGTGCTAAGTACAGATGCAAAGGGCCCATCAAATCCTTCTGACAGTTCAGAGATTTCACTCACTCTTCAGGTAAAAATGTAAGCTCTAAGAAGGAAAGTTTTGGTATTGCTTGCTCATTGCCTGTGGTCGTTTCCATTCCTAACCTTTGGGTAACTAGATTATTCGTTGTGTAAGAACCATTTTTTGCCTCTGCCAGACACTACCCATGATCACGCTGTCCAAGGGTTACAGTGGGCTGCATAGAATCTAAATCCTCTCACATGGGTTGTGACAGTCTTGAGGTGGTCGTAGTCACGTTTCAAGGAAAATAAGTAATAGTCTAGGTCTCTATATTTTCAATTCTGGGTATGTGAGGTCTTTTGGCTTCTGGATGTTTTAGCACCACATCAAAAGACCTTGTGAAACAGAACCGCGCTTAGATCGGTGCTCCTCCGTCTTAGAAAGGGAATCGGTGCACGACACCCGTGCCAGAGCCACCCTGATGAAGGGGTACGCACACCCCCGGGGGAGAGGCCCCATGAGCACTCACTGGACAGGTTCCCAGGCGCGACCGGACACTGGCTCAGGGCCTGCGACGCGAGGATGTCGAGTTCCTCTAGGTCGTCCGCGGTGAATTCCGCGTGCGCGCCGAATGGGTCTTCGGGGTCCGGGACCGTGGCCTCCGAGAAGCTCCGGGCCCGCTTACTCGGGGGGTTCTCGAAGGCCCGCGATGGCCCAGGGAAGGGCGCCGGGCCGCCGCTCTGCTTCCTGTGACTGTTGGGCGCCGGTGTCCCAGCCATGACCTCCTTCAGCCCGCAGCGTGCGAGGACGCCAAGCACAGCCTTGCCCGCGGAGAGCCCGACCTAGCCTAACCGCCCGCGCGCCGCCGCTCTCCTCAGCTACGAGCGTCTCCCCAGCCTACGGGCCAATCAGCTGTCAGCCAGCAGACGCAGACGGATGACGTAGACAGAGCGCGCTGCTACACCTGACAGGTTCCTGCGGGTCCCGACTCGGGGCCGCTCTGTCGCTGTTGTGCCGGGACTCTGGGCGGTGCTGTCGGGATTACCCGTGTTGCGGGATCCAGGAGCGGCTGCCCGACCGCACCTGCGGCTGCCCCCGGCGGCATTGCGTAGAATACAGAGCCTCAGAGGAGCAGGTCGTCTTTCTTGAGACAGGCAGCATTCCGGGCTTAGCTCTCTTTGACCTCACTCACCGCGGCTGACCCGGCTTTCATGTATCCAGAGACTCTTTTTGGGAGGAGGCTGGAAGAGTAGACTTGGGGAGAAGGAATGCAGCTGTTCTCTTGGAAGCAGGGCTCTTCCAGAATAGCGAATGTTTCAAGTATGTGTGTATTTGAGAAAAATCTGGGAAGGATGATCTCGAGGACGGTGTGCCTGTTCAGAAGTGCCCCGACTGTTAACTTTCATTTATTTCTCAGGGAGTCTTTATGTCCCGAACGCTGGTGGTATAGAGATGAATGAAGCTCAAGAGGTCAAGGAAGGCTCCCCGTTAGTGGTCCTTGAATTGTCCAACAGATTGAGGAAAAATTGGCAAGAAAAATGGGTAAGAGGCTGACGCATGATGTTGCTGAGAAAAATCGTGCTTCGACAAGGAAACCAGGTGGAAGTTACTACGGCTCAGAGAGGAGGTAAAACTTCACAGAGGAACGAAGATTTGGGTTTTGCTTGGGTGCATGACAGACTTTTATGAGCAGAAGTGGTGGGCGGAACAGTTACCAGGAATGGAGAACAGCATTGGCGAGCAACAGGACCGAGACTTTTCTACTCTGCTTGCTTGGTGCCAGACTTAGCTTGTGAGTCTATCAATCTAAGACATTGGGTGAAAAGGAGAGTGCTCAGGCCTGGAATACCGTAGGTCTTGTGTTTTGTTTTTAGATTTGTTATTTATTTATTTATTTGGTTTTTCGAGACAGGGTTTCTCTGTGTAGCTTTGCGCCTTTCCTGGAACTCACTTGGTAGACCAGGCTGGCCTCGAACTCACAAAGATCCGCCTGGCTCTGCCTCCCGAGTGCTGGGATTAAAGGCGTGCACCACCACCGCCCGGCTAGATTTGTTATTTTTTATGTATATGAGTGTTTTGCCTGATGTATGTATGTGCACCACATGTATGTCTGATGCCTACAGAGGTCAGGAGGCATTGGCTCACTTAGAACTGCCTTAGTTTTTTTATTCAGCTGCTGGTAGTTTCCCTTTGCTGCCCAACACAATGTTGACTGCTTAAGCCTCCCAGCCCCCTTTTGACAGTGTCGTGACATGTAACCAAATCTGGCCTAGAACTCAAAAAATGTCCTTCCTCCCCTCTGAGTGCTTAGATTATAGACATGGGTTCATAACCCTGTCCAGCTGTTTTTGTTTTTTGAGATGGCCTCAAACTTTCAATCCTCCTGTCTCAGTCTCCAAGTGCTTAAATTGTGAGCTACCATGCCTGGCTAAATACCCAAGTCTTAATAACTAAAATCTGTGGTTCTGAAAAGAGGAAGGACTGTCCATTGTCAAGAGGGATCAGATTCCACAAATTAAAAAAGAAGTAGCTTCTGTTTGGGGAGAAGGAAGCCGTGACTGCTGACAAGCCATTTTCAGCATGGGGCTGGGTGCCAGCTGGAAGACCCCACTGGCCTCAAGCCCACAGAAGGTGCTCCTTGGAGATGACCAAAGCAAGCTGATTAATAAAAAAAAAAAGTTTCATGTGTGCGGGTGTCTTGCTTACATGTATGTCAGAGGCCAGAAGAGGGCATCAGCTCCCCTGGAACTGGAATTACAGTGAGCCTCCATGCGGGTGCTGGGAATTGAACCCTGGCCCTCTAGAAAAACAGCCAGTGCTATTAACTGTTGAGCCATCTCTCTAGTCCCCAAGCTGGTATTTTAAAATTTTGATTCTCCTGCAGCAGCTGCTGGAGTGTTGGGATTACAGGTGTGCTAGCTGGGCTTCGGTGTGCAGGCTTGTAATCCCAACAACTCAGGAAGGCTTTGGCTGGGAAATCACAAATTTAAGGTCTGACTGAAGAGTTTAGTGAGACCCTGTCTCATAAAAAAGATAATGTCTTCAGGAAAAGTTTATTATTATTTCCAGTTGTATAAATGGCCTAGAGGGCAAATCAGAAGTCTTGTGCCTCTCAATTAGGCATTTCAGTAAATACATATGGGGTTTGGACAGTGTTACAAGTATTTGCTTAGAATGTTCAAGGCTCTGGATTTGATTTCTAGCATCCTGTCTCCCCTAAAATAGGGTCACATTTCTGGGCATGGTGGCACAAACCTGTAATCCTAACACTATGGAGGCTGAGGCAGGAAGATTTTAAAGTCAAGGCCCATCCAATCTATACAGAGTTCCAGGTCAGTCTGTACAATAGTAAGACCCTATCTCAACTCCCTCCTTCCCAAACGAGATTGGCTTCTACTCTGGATTTTTTACTTGGTGGTTGGTGGCAGATAACAAATAGCAAGAACTGCCACTTTATGATCAGGGAAGAGTCACTGTCATTTTTCTTCCAGAACTGGGGTCTGAAATCTAGGGCTCTTCGCAGGTATCAGGCCAATACTCATATCATTGAGCTACATCCCTGCCCATTTTTACTTTTTTGTGACTGTTACCCAATCATGACTTCAAGTTGTGATCCTCCTGCCTCCAATTCCCAAGTAGTTAGGATTTTAAGACGTAAGGAATCAACTTGGTAAAACACAGTGAAGGGCTTGGGCTTCCTCACTGCTTTGTGTGTACTTGCTATATGAGTATTTCCTCACCACTGATAAAATGCCTAGTATAAAAACATAGAACAGAGCTGGGCATAGTGGCTCATGCCTTTAATCCCAGTATTCGGGAGGCAGGCCTGGTCTACATAGAGTTCCAAGACAGCTAGGGCTACATTGAGAGATACTGTCTCAAACAAACAAACAAACAAACAAACAAACAAAGCACAGTGAGGCTTGTCTACCTCAGACCACTGTGGCTGCAAATGGACTAGAGGGTGAACAGTAGACATCAGACTACTTAGAGGAATGGTGTCCAGACCACTTAGAGCAGTGGTTCTCAACTGGTGGGGTCACCACCCCTTTCGGGGTCACACATCAGTTACCTACACTATGATTCATAACAGTAAAAAATTACAGTTAGGAAGTAGCAATCATAAAATTTTATGATGGGGGGGGCTCACCACAACATGAGGAACTGTATTGAAGGGTTAAAGCATTAGAAAGTTGAGAACCACCACCTTAGAGCCTGATTGTAAGAACGTTGGCTTTTTTTCTAAGCACTGATGAATGTTAAGCCAGTGAGAACATATGAATTATGAGTTGTGGTTTAACAAGATCAGCCTTTTCACCCTTTGCATGTGTGTCAGGTGTGTGAGCACACATGCAAGTGCATGTTCAGGCCCAAGCCTGGGAGTCTCAGTGAGGCAGGGTGTCGCAACTGAACTCAAAGCTCACCTGTCAGGGTAGGCTAGCAATCCAGCTGGCTCCAGGAATCCCTTGTCTCTGCCTGAATTAAAACACACAAACATACGGCAACTTGGCTATCACGAAAGACAGGTGGCTTTCTTTACAAAGTATATTTTCTTTCACTAATCTCTGAAAAAGTACACCATTAGAAAAACAACTACACAAGAATGATAGCCTTTTAATGAGCTGGTTTAATTAATTCAAAGTGATACAGAATTCAGAGTACAACAGAGATGAAACAGCTCTGGTAGGATTTCGGACTGAGTTTACTTTAAATTCACAGCTGAGGTAGGAATTGCTGAACACTAGAGACAATGAGCCATTGTATTATTTATTATTATAATTTTTTTTTTTTTTTTTTACAAAAGTTTATTACAATGTACAACAGTCTCCGGGATAACACTTCATTCTAACTATAGGTGGCAAAGATGTTATAGTAGGGAATCCAGATGTTTAGCAGGCTCCAGGGTAACACTTCATTCTAGCTGTAGGTGGTAAAGATGTTATGGCAGGGAATCCAGATGTTTAAATAGGAATGGACGAGGCTCACCATCATCTCAGATATGAGGAACAGCTTACTTTTTGCCAGATTTCTTAATTCCACCTGTGGCTGCAAAAAGAAAAGTTGATTAGGGAAAAATACAGTTGTGGCTAAAAAGCCTCAGGGGTCCTAGTAATACTTGGCTCTTGTACTGGTGTTTACTAGGACAGACATGCACAGTTCCTTTTTCAATACAGTCTCTCCTAGGGAAAGGCAAAGCATGGCTAAGGCAAGGCAACTGCTGTGTACTGCTCTTCATCTACACGATGGTGTCCTTCAGATTAGCTGAGTAACTCTCCTGCCACAGCAACCCACTGTACAGAAAAGTAAGTCTTGATGTTTGGTGTTCCTCAAGGTGAGAAGCTAGTATGTGAGAAGACTCAGTTCTCATCTGGTACTCTGACTTTTCTGTTTTTGGAGTGTTTATTTTTCGTTTATGGTCAAGTCTTATTAAACAGTACCGGTGAGCCCTTTCCCCCCATTGTTCTTTGGTTTCTTTCTTTTTTTGAAACAGAGAAAGAACACAGAAGTTGGAGAAGATCTGGAAAGAGTTGGGGGAGGAGAAAACATGAGCAAAGTATATTGTATGGAAAAAAAGGGTTTAGCCAGGTGTGGCAGTGCATGTGATTAATCCTAGCACTTGGGAGGCAGATGCAGGAGGATCACTGAGTTTGTGGCCACCTTGGTCTACAGAGTGAGTTCCAGCACAGCCAGGACTGTATATAGCAGTGATTTCCTACCTTCCTAACGCTGCAGCCCTTTACTACAGTTCCTCATGCTGTGCTGACCCCCAACCATAGAATTTTGTTGTTACTTCATAACTGTAATTTTGCTACTGTTATGAACTGTAATGCAAATAAATATCTGTGTTTTCCAATGGTCTTAGGCAACCCGTGTCAGAGTGGTTTGCTCCCAAGGGGCCCAGACTCATGTGTTGAGAACCACTGACAGAGAAACCCTGTCTCAAAAAATTCATCTTTCTGCCTCAGTCTCCCTCAGCCTCTCCAGGCGTTAGGATTAGTGGTATATACCACCATGCCAGGGCTCTACCTAAGTAGTCTAACTTCTAATTGCATACTTTTTCCCCTTCATATTTTATGTGTGCCTGCATGTGTGGGC